GAAGAGCACCCAGTGCTCTTAATTGTTGAACCATTTCTTCAGCCCATTTATTTATTTAGGCTTTTCAAGACAGGGTTTTTCTGAGTAACAGTCCTGACTGTCCTGGAACTCTAGTTGTAGACCAGGCTGGCCTCGAACTCACCGAGATCCCTCCTGCCTCATGCTGGGATTACAAAGCAGGTGCCAGCATGCATGGCATTAGTTAATTTTTAATAGTAGCTATATTTAGCAACAGCTCTTAAAACTTCTCTAAGTAACTGAGCATCCAGGCAAGCTGTTCACTCATAGCACGGCCTGATGGTAAGACCAGTGTGCTCTCATTCTCCCTCTGTGCTGCCTGTGTTACTGTCATACAAAGGCTAGTGATGGCTGGTACCCGGAAAAAGTCCAGGCTACCAGCCATCACTTTCTGTGACCCTGAGTAATTTCTGCCTCTATGGTTTTCTCTTCTGTAAAGGAGTCTCCCACAGTCCTTGGCCTGCCCCCACACAGGGCTTGTTGACAGGATTAAGTCACAGGTCTCTATGATTGTACTGATAAAAGGCTTTATGGTGATTGCCATTTATTTCATTATTAGTTTCCAGCTAAGTTATCTCTGTTAAATTGCAAAACTGTTGCCATTTTAAAGGATGTGGTTTAGTTCAGGATCTCCCACAATGCTAGGAATAGCTGAGAAACACCAAGATGAACTGTTTTCCAGGCATCCCCTTAAAATTTGCTAGTGTTTACTGATTAAAAATATTTCCCTTGGGGCTGGGGAAATGGCTCAGTCTGTAAAATGCTTGCTATGAAAAGTGTGAGGAGCTGATTTCAGATCCCAGTCATGCATGTAAAAAGTCAGGTATGGCAGGGCAGTGGTTGCACACAACTTTGATCCCAAAACTTGGGAGGCAGAGGTAGTCGGATCTCTGTGAGTTCAAGGCCAGTGTGGTTAGCTAGAGCCGTAACACAGAGAAACCCATCTCGAAAAACAAAAACAAACAAACAAAAAAACAAACAACAACAACAAAAAGCAAGGTGTAGTGGTGTGAATCTCTAATCCTAGTTATGAGAGAGAGGGAGACAGGAGCCTTGATGGCCATTCAGTCTAACTGAAATGACAAACTCCAGTTTCAGTGAAAGACCTTGTCTCAAAATAAACAAGTAAATGAAGTGAATAGAGGAAGACGCTGGATATCCACCTCTGGCTTCCACACATGCATGCATGCATGCACACCTTCATACACGTACATACACATACACCACAGGCACAGAGTTACTTCTGCCTGAAAAGTGTCCCCCCAGTTCTTTATCCAGCTGACTTCTTAGTCCAAACATCTGGGTTCAAGTCACCTCCTTCACTGTCCCATTTATGCCCTTCATAGCACCTAATTTCATTTATTCACTTCTTTGTGAATGTCCCTCATTATAAGGCCAGTTCTGTGGGGGTAGTGTCCCAGTGCCTGGCACACAACGACTATCTGTCAAACAGAGGCACTTATCTGCTAAGAGACAGTGTTAGGCATAGCCACATGCTGGGACTTGAGAGAAGAAGCTCCTTGCTAGGACTCAGCTAATAGTGTTTACAGTTGTCCACATTTTTCTTAGGGACCAGGAGGAGACGCAGAGACAACAAAAGATGGGTAGCTCCCTTCTGCTACCCTGCCCCCCACCTCGGTGGTGATGTCACACAGGGAAGGATTCTCTAACCCTTCTCATTCTCTCACAGTCCTGTAAACAGCTGTTTTTCATTAACATTATGGTGAGGGGGGAGAGGGAGGGATGGGATGGGGGTGGGGTACCCCACCCCTGGATAAAATTAGGTTAAAGCTAACTATGTTCAAGTTTAGGAGGAAATGGGTAACAGAAGCTACATTTTGGATTAAGCTATTCAAATTATGGAAGAGACAAATGAGGGCAAGAAAGGAAAATGAGATAAACAAAGTACTGAAGAAAGGGAGAAGAGAGAGAAGAAAACTGACAAGAAGACACAGGAAGTGGCTATGGGAGAGAGAAAAGCACAAACCAGGTAGTGAAGCAGACAGAGAAAGGGAGAGCTGGGCCTCTGGCACCCTGGGCTTCCTAACTCTTGGGTATTGCTTGTTGTGGGAAGATGGTTGGCTGTCTGGGGCAGGGGGCTCCTCAGGCATCCTGTGGAGAGTCACTTACATGCCTGAAAAGCACTTTGAGAGGCCCAGGTGAGGTCATCTTGGGGTTGAGTCTCTGGATGCATCCACAATAGTTATGGAATAAGGAATGTAAACCATCCCCTATACTTTTTCTTTTTTTAAATCAGGATTGTAGAGGAAAGGGAACGAGTACTGAGTGCCAGCCTCTTCTACACAGTGAGTTCCAAGACAGCTAAGGCTATATAGAGAGATCCTGTAGTGGAACACGTTTGTAATATCAGCAATCCACAGAAGAATCAGGAGGGCCACTGTCTGTTTGAGGCTAGCTTTATCTACATAGAGAATTCTAGGCCAGCCTGACCTATATAGAGACCCTGTCTTAAGAACAAAAC